GTGGAATCACACAACTTACTTTGATGACTCAGAAGCACTGATGCTGTTGCAGCCCTATAATCCAATTTCAATCAGCTGCTTACAGTATACTGTTAAGAAAATGATATTATCCTCCAACTAGTTTAAATGTAATATGTCACCAATGTGTTTGCCTTCAGGACTGGAAAAACACAGCAACAATATAAATGATAAGTTTGGTTTTATTATGGCATTTGTCTAGAAAGCTAATCACAAACAATGAAGTGAACAATGGGGTAATATGTGGGTAAACAAGTGTTTATAATAGCATGCAGTGTCACAGTTCAATATTATTCATCATGATCTATGCAGATTTTTTTCTTTAAAGTCTGTGGTGCCTGAGCAAAAACTAAACATTAATAAGTGAACCAAAAAATGTATGTGAACACACACAAAAATGTGCACTTAGGGCGTGTCTCTGGTACATCTCCCGAAGAAGGCTCCTGACAGGCTTAAGGTACACTCAGTTCCACCTGACCAACAGACCTGGCAGACCCCTCTCCTCATGATCAGCCAAAGCTCACCAACAAGTACTAGGTGAGGAGCTCTCCCAAAGAAAAGACCCCCTCCCCTCAAGGCAGGGGAGGAAGGAACCTGATGGCCACACATCATCCTCCTAGACTTCAGGATAGGCCAGATGACCCACACCATCCATTCTGAGTGAAAAAAAAAGGGAGCATAAAAAGTAAGTGCAGTGACACACATGTGGAAAGCGAATAAATATGCAAAAATAAGTGCCAGTGCAGGTGCATTGGCTAGGCTTGGTAACAAAAATTGCCCCGTTCTTGGCCAATAGGCCTACTCCATGAGCCATAATGCAGAAAAAGGAAGGGTGTCGTGGCCAATTGCTCATTCAACAGTGGGGTCCCAAACCCATAGTGATATCAGCACCCCACAGACTCTCTGCCTTCCCAGCCCATGACTAGGCCAGGTGTGCTGTATGTTCACTACAATACATTATAAGCTTTTTTTAAATGATGATGAAGTTTACAATTTACTAAAGGCATCTGAGTTTTTAGCCTAAACCTCCTATGACAAGAGATGTGTTCAGATGATAGCCCGGTTACAGGAAGGCATCATACAATACAGTCTGTCTGAGGGGCCACTGGCCCCGTGTTTATTTTAATGTAACCAGTTACCAGAAAAAACATGTCAGCCATATAACAAAAAAAAAGACCTGCTAAGTTCAGGAAATGTCTCAGGCTGTGCTTACATCTAGTGATTTGGGATTGTGTGCCGAATTGCTGCGATTCTGCTCATAATTTCAAATCACACTGCAATTGTGTGAAAATGCACCATGCGTGTTTTGATGCCATTTATTTTTAATATCACCTCAAAAGTGGTGAGGTTTTGTCACGATTGTCGTACAATTTATAGCACGGAAAACGCGTCAAAATACATCCCACAAAGCTATTCACCCAAAAGAAGCTCCTGATCCTTTTTGGATGACAAACTTTGCACAATGAGGTTAAGGTGCCATTAAAAATAAATGGCACCCACACACGCGTAGTGCTTTTGCCAAGATTGAGATGCAATTTGGAATCACAGCCAGAATTGCGGCAATTCTGCTCACAATCTCAAATTGTCAGATGTGAATAGGGTCTCAAAATCCATGCAGTAGGCTTAAACTCCATCAACAGCTCATAGTTCTGCTCAGTGAACTCTTTCTGGTACAACCATACAGTCTGTACCAGAAAGAGAGATTTACTAAAATTGATGCAGACAAAATCTGGTGCAGCTCTGCATAGAAACCAGTCAGCTTCTAGGCTTTATTGTCAAAGTTTAATTGAACAAGTTGAAGTTAAAAGCTGAATGGTTACTATGGACAGCTGCACTAGGTTCTCAGTGCACCAGTTTTAGTAAATCTTTCCGTAGGTTTTCTCATGGCATACATCATTAAAGTCCCGTGGACAGAGGAATCAGTGTGTTTTTTTTCTCACGAGGCCACCCTGGAGACCACCACCACCACCCCAGTTTGAACTATTTGGGAAAAATATCTCCCATCCACCATCTTGTCTGCCACTGTAACCTACACTCTGTCACATAACCCCCCCCCCCCTTTAGAGAATCCTCCTTTGCTCCTGTAAGGGAAAAAAACTTGAAATCCAGGTAACTCCCTCAAGCAGCTTTAGGATCTGCTTCCAGCAGGATGCTGCCAAAAGAACAGTTATCAGACAGCACATCCTGATATCCTTAGGCACCTGCTCCAATTCATTAAAATGAGAAAATATGACTTTTAATCTTCCTTTCATTGCAAAAATTGCAACTTAACACCTAGCCAAAATTAGTTTTTGTGTATCATGACATAAATTAAAGAAATGAAATCCTGATTGGAAAAGGGGAGGGGCGCTAGCATCTGAGCTCCACAGCGGCATGGATCAGAAGCTCCCATGCCCGCTGTAAGATCAAGCCACATCTGAACCCCCCCACCTACCTGAGTAGCTGTCGGGAGGCCCTGAAGCAGGGGAGTCCAGTGCAGAAGGCAGACTAGGGGGCAGGAAGCAGGAAGTTGTGCAGCGGTCGCTGGTCACTGGTGGAGGAGAGATTCAGTGGAGAAGCAGAGGAAACAGAGGAGGTCAGGTGATCAGTCAGGTGACTGGGCGGAGAACCAGGGAGCCTGGGAGCCAAATTCCGGAGGGAGCAGCTCAAATCCTCCCTGCACTATCCCCAAATGGGAGATCTGCTCAGCCCCTGAACATTGTGACGGATCCCCCCTAGTCCGGTAATGGCAGCGGAAAGTGGCAGAAGAGATGGTGGCAGGAGATAAGGATCCCTGGGGTTGAGAGCTCCCAATGCAGCAAAGAAGTGCCAGCGAGACCAAGGAGGAAAATTGAGAACAACTTCTGGACAGGGGGGGAACGGGAACGGATGAGTGGCTTGGGGAGGCAATAAACTCCCAAAGACAAACCCCTGTATGCGACTGAGGAAGCTAGGAGGTACAAGGATAAAATAACAGTGTATCTGGGGGCCCCAGAGGTGAATGGCACAGTGTATTAATGACTTGTCTGCATGTTTGAAAAATAAATCCGCTCCTGCCATTACAAGCTTCCGTGTACCCCGAGGAAAATGAAGAGTAGATCTGGGGGAGAACCCCCCAGTCAAACTTAAATACAAGTACAATAAAAAAGTACACACGAGAAAAGTTCAGAGGAATCGATTTTGGAACCCCAGGGAGATGAAGGTGGTCTTGGAAGTCAGAGGAGATTATCTCTGGAAGTAGCAGAAGGAATTCAATTGAAAGAAATAGAGAAAGAAAAGGGGAAAAGAAAAATGGAGGAGCAAGAAGAAAGGTCTCAAATGCCCACAAAACCAGAAATCGCCAAAGTGTTCACAAAATTAGAAAATTTGATAAAAAGCAAAATGGCAGTGCTACATGGTGATATGGTACAAATTCTATCACGAGTAGATGAGATGAAAGGGAAGTTGGAGAAACAAGCACAAGTAATTAATAAATTAAAAGAGAAAATGGAGGAAATGAAAAGAGAACAGGGACTGTTATCCTATAAATTAGAAGATCAGGAAAACAGAGACAGGAGGAATAATCTGAGGGTTAGAGGTTTACCGAAGTTTTCTCAAGGAGAAGTTCCAAGGGACACAATGAGTAAATTGTTTAATTCAATAATGGGAAGGAGATAAACAGAGCATCTGAAGATAGAAAGAGTGCATAGGATAAGAAGATCCCAAAAAGTTTCACCAGATATCCTCAGGAATGTGATAGTAAGGTTCCATCGTAATGAAGACAGAGAAATAATTTGGAAAAAGTTACGTGGGATGTCAGATGCAAAGTTTGGAGAGACAAAAGTGCAAATTTTTGCAGACATAGCATTTGAGACACCTGCCAGAAGGAGATCATTGAAACCACTGCTGGACCAGATGAGAAGTAAAAATGGCCATTATAACTGGGGTTTCCCAGCATACCTGATTGGGTGGAAAGACAGGAAGTGGGCAACACTGAGATTTCAAGAAGATATTAAGGATTTTTGTGAAAAATTAGGATTACAGACTCTGGACATTAAGGGATGGTCTGTCAGAGAACAAGAGAATATAAGAGCAGCAGATGAAAAATAGCAAAGTGTTATTAAAAAGAGATAGGTGTGGGGTGGGATGAAGGGGAGATGGGAGAACAGCGGGGGTGGAGGACCCCAAGGGGATGTTTGGTACTCCCTGTAATACGGGTCCCTTTCCTCCTCTTTTTTTTCTTCCTTTGCCTCCCCTCCGCCCCATCATGTCTCTCCCACTCTGCCTGACAATGCCTCTGAGATGAGACCTCCTACATCCGAATGTAGATTGAAATAGGGCCCTAAGAGCAGAAAAGAGGTATGTCAGACTGGCAAGAGAATGGTAACAAAGGAGAAACGGGTAGGTGAGGGGAGATGACGGAGCATCGCGACGGGCAGTAGGGAGACAAATCATGCCGCCAATTTCAGACCTAAAAATGAGAGATCAGGGTCTGAAGGAGTGTGCATGTTAAGAGTTTTACCCAGAAGAAGGAATCAACTGTGGCCGTGGGTTACAGTTGATTCATGGAACAAAAATAAGTCAGTGGGGTTTTGGGGGGGAGGGAGGGGGAGGGAGAAAAGGAAGAAAGGGAAGGTCCTCATACTTCAAAACACAGTTTACTTCAACCCCTATAAAGGATACATAGAGGGATATAGTTAAAATGGGAGGAAAGAACATGGTTAATTTTATGACATATAATGTAAAAGGATTAAATACACCAACGAAAAGACATAAGGTTTTAAGGGAAATTGGCCAACGATTGATAGAAGTGGTATTTCTTCAGGAGATGTACAGTATATATTTCAGGTTTTGAATATTAAGTTATACTCTAAACTCTTACTAACCTGGTATTATGCAGACTCTCCAATAAAACAGGCAAAGGGAGTGGCAATAGGCTTTGGAAATAATATAAAATGTACTCTAGACGACAAGATCGTAGATCCAGCAGGCAGCTATTTATTTTTAATAGGGAATTTGCAGGGAAAAGAATGTACATTAGCACAGGCCTTGAAATTTCCACTCGCCTGCTCGTCAATGGCGAGTGGAAATTATGGTGGGGGCTAGTGTGTCCCCCGGGCCATCTTGCTGAGCAGGCTCGGAGCTCAGACCGGATCTGTCATTGGCACTGGGAGCCGTCAGACTGCTCAATAGCTGAGCGCAGTGAAAGCAAAGAAAGGAGTGTGTGCTGTGCTCTTTTTATAGGGTGTATGTGTGTGTGCGTCTACCTAATTTCAGCTCACTCTGGTCACATGATCCTCTATATCAGCCAGTGGTGGCTTCAGGGGAGAAGAGAGAGCACTTAACAGCATGTGCATATGTGTGTGTGTTTGTGTGTGTCTGTGTATGCATATACATGTGTCTGTGTGTATGTACATGTGTGTATCTGTACATGTGTCTGCGTGTATGTACATGTATGTGTGTGTACATGTGTCTGTGTGTGTATGTACATGTGTGTGTATGTATGTACATGTATCTGTGTGTACACGTGTCTTTGTATGTATGTACATGTGTCTGTGTATGTATGTACATGTGTCTGTGTGGGTGTATTTCTGTGTATGTATGTGTATCTGTGTGTATGCGTGTCTGTACGTGCCTGTGTGTGTATACATGTTTCTGTGTGTGTGTGTATGTTTGTGTGTGTGTGTATGTACATGTCTGTGTGTGTGTGTACAGGTGTCTCTGTTTGTGTGTGTTTGTTGGTGGCGAGTAACTCTTAAGGCCTGGCTAGTAGCTCAGGACTTGAAATTTTAAGCCATGCATTAGCAAATATATATTTTTCTAATAAAAATCCGACAGTATACCTGGAAGGAATACTGACAAATCTTAGACTTTAAAAGGGGTAGCGTGATCATGGTCGGTGATTTAAATTTCTGCATGGACCCAGGGATGGATGCCTCTTCATGCACCAGGAGAGAGGGAGACAGGAGTCCAAAGAATATTAGAAAAAAGTTACATCAATGCCAGTTGATAGATGCTTGGAGGGTCAAACACCCCAAGGAAAGAGACTATACCTTCTTCTCTGTGGCGCAAAAGATGTATTCAAGACTAGATTATATGCTGATTGAACATAGACTCCTAGAGTCTCTGGTGAAAACTAATATAGAGGTAATGTCTGTATCGGATCATGCCCCGGTCACAATGTGGAAGGGAACAGAAGGAAGTGGAAGGGAACAGAATAAAATAAATATGTGGAGGTTAAATGAGACCATCTTACAAGATCCAGATATGGAAAAGAAAGTAAAACAGGAAATAGATCAATATTTTAAGAGTAATGAGACTGAGGAGGTGTCTATTGCCACGATCTGGGAAGCGCATAAAGCCTATATAAGGGGTATACTGATTACAATAGGAGCGGAGAAAAGGAAAGAACGAGGGAAAAGAATTAGGACAATAAGGGAAGAACTTCATCAGTTGGAACAATTACATAAAAAGAAGTTAAATACAGAGTTACAACAAAAGACAATATTAAAAAGAGAGAAGTTAAAAGACTTTATGGAACAAGAAAACAAGAAAAACATTCAAAGGGATCTCGAAGGACAGAAATCTGTGGGGGAACAAACCAGGGAAATACTTAATGAGGAAGTTGACGGAAAAGAAATCAAAGAACTTCATAGATTAAATTAAAAAACGAAAAAGAAGAAATGGTTTTTTCAACCACTGATACAGCTAATACATTTCAGAGATTCCACAGTAGGCTATATGGACTAGAGGATACAAAACAAGAAAGAATTAGAAGAAGAGATGGGGGTGAAAAGACAGATGTATCTGAATGAGGCTGGAATACCTAGAGTAAATAAAGCTAGATTAATAGCTTTAGACAGTACAATATCAATAGAAGAAATCAACAAAGCATTAAGGGACACAGCTGTAGGGAAGAGTACAGGTCCTGATGGATTTACAGTAGGATACTATAAGAAGCTTAAAGAACAACCCCTAAATTATGTATTTATATGAATACCTTGGGAGAGGAGACAAAGATGAAGGAGGAGTCATTTACAGGCATACGTCACGGTTATACCTAAGGAGGGGAAAGACTGGTCTCAATGTACCAGTTACAGACCTATATCTTTGTTGAATGCTGACACAAAATTATATGCGAAGGTATTACCAACAAGGATGAAAGAGTTGATGTCTGACTGGATACACTTAGACCAAGTGGGTTTCATTCCGGATAGAGAGGGAAAGGATTATGGCTTAAGAACACTGCTTATCTTACAAAAGGTTGAAAGAGGGAGAGGTACCAGGAATTATTCTGTCGGTAGATGCTGAAAAAGCCTTCAACAGAGTAGAATGGAGTTTTATTTTTGACACGCTGAGAACATTAGGAATAAGGCCCAGAATGATGACATTGATAAAAGAGCTATAAAGCATTTCCTGAGCGGCAGTGAAGGTAAATGGATCGTTATCCAAATTTTTTAGATGAACAACGGAACTAGACAGGGATGTCCCTTATCCCGATTGTTGTTTGCTATCTCCCTAGAACTGCTATTAGCTACTGTTAGAAATAGCCTAGATGTCAACGGAATATGGATGGGGGTATACTGAACATAAAGTGGCAGCATATGCGGATGATATGCTGTTCTATATAGCAAACCCCAGATTAACACTATAAAACCTAATGAGAATATTAAAAGAATACGGAGAGTTATCTAATTTGAAAATTAATCTCTCGAAAAGTGAGATCTTAAATATAAATTATTATTATTATTATACAGTATTTATATTATGTTTGCTCAGCGCTGTACATTATAGTGGGGGACAGTACATGAGACAGTACAGTAACAAAACAATACACGAGGGGTTCGAGGGCCCTGCTCCCAAAGACGGAGAAACAAATATTACAAAAAGAATTCCCTTTTAAATGGAAAGAATGAAAGTATTTGGGAATAAAACTATCACCTATAAAAAACATATATCAAGTAAATTATATTCCTTGAATAAATAAGATAAAGGATGAACTGAGGAAAGCCTCCATGGGAAAGTTGTCCTGGATAGGTCGGATAAACATAATTAAGATGATAGTTGTACCTAATGTTTTGGATAAATTTAATATGCTCCCAATACCTCTTCCAGGGACTTTTTTAGGTTTCTAAAAAAATGGTACTCAAATATGTGTGGAGTAATAAAAAAAACAAGAGTGAAATACTAAGTTTTATGCAAGAACGAAAAAAAAAAGGGGGATTAAATATGCCAGATATTATAATTCGGTCATATTATCACGGATTGCAGATTGGATATATTATGCACAGGGGAGAAGTTGGTTAAAAATGGAGAGTTCACTATGTAAAGCACCATTAGATAAGTATATTTGGATACAACAGGAATTTCGCACATAGGGTGAAGATACAAGCACTTTGACACAGAATGTATTTAGGATTTTGGATGAAATGTACAAGCAGAAACACTAGAAGTTTAATTCATTGTCAATCCCGTTGGTGAGAACTAAGTTTTTCCCGCCCAGAAAATGACAGCATCTCAGGGAAATGGATAATTTATAGAAATGCACGTCTAAATGACATAAAGGGATTTTATGTTCTTTACACAATTTGAAGAGTAAGAAGGAAATATTTTCTATAATAGATGAGTGGCGGTATGGTCAAATAAGACATTTTGTTGCAAAGCACCCACATTCTTTAAGAACAAAGGAAGAAATGTACCCCTTAGAACAACTGTTGAGTATGAATAGAATACAAAAAACACACTACCTCCAGGATATATAGAATTCTTACCGAAATAGAGATTGGTACCCCAAAGTTCTTGGAGAAATGGGAGGTGGAGCTTGGAACAAAATTGAATGAGCAACAAAAAATTAAAATGTTTAGTTTAACACATGGGGCAGTGAATATGAATATAGCTGAAATTAATTATAAATGTCTGGTAAGATGGTGTATTACACCTAATGTGTTGCATAAACTTAGGCCAGAGGCCCCATCCCAGTGTTGAAGGGAATGCGGAAGTAAGGGCACAATGGCACACATCTGGTGGGAGTGTCCTAGATTACAGGAGTTTTGGAGGGAGATGCAATATATACAGGAGATTCAGAAAAAAAGTGTACCGATGGACCTATGGGCCTGTCTATTTTATAAATCAGAGCTTTCGGTGAAAAAAAATATAAAAATATAATACTATTTAATCTTTTAAATGCGGCCAAAAGTCTTATCCCTAAATATTGGCAAACAACAGAACTCTCAAAAATAAAAGATTGTTTGGATAGAGTTGAATACATATACTGTACAGGATGGAAGAATTATATCACATAGAGGAAGACAAAATGGAAAAATGTAAAAAAGTCTTCGATGGATGGCATATTTAAAAAACAACAAAAAGATTTTTAGAAGTGGTTGGAGTATAAGGGGATAAAAGAAAAGGAAAATAAATAAGAAGCTGGGGAAGATAGAAAGGAAGAGGAAAAAGATAAGGAGGGGAAGTAGTAGAATATTATTATTATTATACAGTATTTATATAGCGCCAACAGTTCGCTCAGCGCTGTACGTTACAATGGGGGACAATACATGAGACAGTACAATAACAATACAGTGCGATACAAGAGGGGTTCGAGGGCCCTGCTCCTTGGAGCTTACAATCTAGGAGGGAGGGGATAGTGGTACGGGAGGAAAAGCTGTGGGGGTTGGAGTGGTAGGAAGAGTGGAGGAGATCGGCAGTTAGCAGAGGGAGGGGTAGGCTTCCCTGAAGAGGTGGGTTTTTAGGGTGCGCCTAAAGGAGAGGAGAGTGGGTGATAGTCTGATGGATTGGGGTAGGGAGTTCCAGAGGATGGGTGATGCCCTGGAGAAGTCCTGGAGGCGGGCATGGGAGGAGGAGATCAGGGAACTAGAGAGAAGGAGGTCTTGTGAAGAGCATAGAGTGCGTTTTGGGTGGTATTTGGATATTAGGTCGGTGATGTAGTTTGGGGCAGAATTATGGACAGCTTTGTACGTCAGTGTTAGCAGTTTGAATTTGATCTGTTGGGCAATTGGAAGCCAGTGGAGGGATTGGCAGAGGGGGGGGTGGCGGAAACAGAGTGGTTGGTAAGGTGGATGAGTCTGGCCGCCATATTCAGGATTTACTGAAGTGGGGATAGCCTGTTGTGAGGCAGGCCAGTGAGGAGGGAGTTGCAGTAATCGAGTCATGATATGATGAGGGAGTGGATGCGCTGCTTAGTAGTTTCTGGGGTTAGGAATGGGCGTATTTTGGCAATGTTGCGGAGGTGGAGTCTGCATGAGTTTGTTAGCGATTGGACTTGAGGCTGGAAGGATGGATTGGAGTCTAGTATGACACCAAGTACTCTGGCTTGCGGGGTGGGCTTGATGGTGGCATGGTTGGACGTGATGGAGAAGTCAGTGGGGGGGGGGGGGGGCGCGCGGGCTGGGGGGAAGACTAGGGGCTCGGTTTTGGAGAGGTTCAGTTTAAGGAAGTGGAGCAACAGCCAATCTGATATGTCGTTCAGTAGG